AACTTGGAGTTGATCTAAACAACACAGATAATTGTTTTTACAGGACTGTGAATATGAATATCAATAATAATTTCTCTTTAATTGACAATAGCATGTGTTTATTATTTTCAAATAATTACCTATATGTTCATTCTTCAACAGTGACTTTCACTAATTTCAAAATGTAGAAGGAAGCAAGGTTAGTTTACAGTTTACTTTTTACAGTTTATTTCACTTCCCCTTTAATGGATCTGTGGCAAAAGCCAGCAAAAAACCCTTTTTTTTTTTTTTTTTTTTTTTTTTTTTTTTTTTTTTTTTTTTTTGTTCAAAGTTTCCAAAACAGTTAAGTGAAGTCCAGATGTGTAAGTTAGAAAGCTGCTTCTCTGCAAAACTCAGTGGTGAGGAAAATAAAGGCAGTTTAGGGAAAACAGGCAGAGGGTCTTTTTCTCAGGTTCAGAAGTTAACTTCAGGCTCAATTTTCCTATTCTGGTTCTTAAAGACTCTTAAGCTGGGCCTTTAGCACTGATTTATTCTCAGTGATTACTAGTAATTTATTTTACCTTGGAAATAAAAATGGCAGTTTAATCTGAATTTGAAATTGTCCAATTTGTCTGCCTATCTACTTTAAAATATCCCTTCTTAAGTAAAGTCGTCCTTGCACCTTTCTTTGTTAGCAATTCAGCCTGTGTTTAGGACAGTTATTCAGTATCTCCAAACATACTTCTCTCATTGGACTTTTCTTGGTTCCACAGAAAAGAAGACTTTCTCATGAGGACATTGCAAAAAGTCATATTTGATCACCGATTCCTCACCTATTAAAAATCTTTCTTCTTTTTCCTTTTTGTAGTAACTGAAAATGTCATAGGAAGCTTTTTGAAATAACATCATATCACAAAAGCTATCCTCAGTTAATTTGGTATAACCCCAGAAAGTTACAGTAGATTTAACAAAACTTTAGTTCAAACATGGGAGAATTTTAGTGGGGAAATTGAAAACAAGTGAGTTGTGGTTTTGATATTCTTAATCAAGAAATGCTTCCCAGTAAAATCCTTGCTTCCTCTGATTTTCCTGTGTTGCTGGGGGGGCCTCAAGGATTTTTGCCCTCAGCTGGACAGTGGCATCAGCTGCACAGAGAGGTGAGCACTGGGGACACACGGGCCCCAGTGGCATCACAGCCATATTATTGAAGAGAGATGGGAGCAGAGTGCGTTTGGATTGTCCACAAGAGTATTAATCCCACAGCACTGTTAATGATGTTTACCCAAGATGACAGAAGATGGTTCTCCACCCACTCCCTTTATTAATTGCAGATGTCTCTTTCTCCCTTGTAAACTGGGGTTTTATAAGTTTTATGATGCAGTTTTCAGGTGTCCTCAGATACATAATCCTTTTTTCATGCTTTTTATCACATTAGTTCTGCATACAATTTTCTTTGTATCTTAAACCAGTTCAAATAGTCCTTTTTTCTCTTTCACAAAATAGCTCCTCCAGTTTTTTTTCTTTGCTGTTTATTATTTCTTAGTAGCACAGTTCACAGTCTGGGTGTGAATACAATTACTTCCAGTTTTAAGTAACACTTCAGGTTTTCAAATAGTATTTCTAATGTTCATTTTCAATTTATGACAATTAAAAGAAAACAAACAAATAAAAATCCTTGCAGTACAGCTGAAGAAATAATTATTTTAAAATTACTTTTACTTGTCCTTTTCAAAAGTTTCTTTGTCTTGTGGAATGGTGGACTGTGGGTGTGTCAACACTTGTTGCTCAGTCTTATAAATTAATTCTTTGCTAAATTATTAGTTTCATTACTGAAATGTCAGCTCCTAAGCTCTGTGGCTATTCACTTTAATGCAGAAGACACTGAGTATGTTCAGACCATTCATATACTGCTATAACCCACTTAATTATGATGTATTGGAAGTCAGTTTTTCTGACTTCTGGGGAAAATTTCATTAGTGTCACGTGACACGTGTCTGATCAGTGACAAAATGGAAGGATTTTATTGCTGTGTCTAGCTTCCTAGTGGGAAGTTGTACCATAGACAGAGGCAATTTTTTCTTGGAACAGCAAAGTTTGGGCATGCAGGTTGCCACAAAGGACATTCCAGTTAGATGTTATGAAAACATGATGCACCATGAGGCTGATTGACCATTTAAACTCATTTTTCCAAGGGTTTTTGAAATCTCCATGCATTCAAAGCTTGAGTAGAAATACCTGTGAGTAATTTTGCCTAACTTTGAAGTTATACCTATCTTTGAGGTTAGCCCTGTCTTGAGCAAGAGCTTGTACCAGGTGGAGGTCCCTTCCAGCCGAAGTATCTCTTGATTCTATGATAGATCTGCACTGGGTCAGTTAAGGACTCCTGAGGACGTCTTCACAAAGTATCATGCATGAGATAAGGTCACTTGTGTCCTTCTGTGAATCTGCAATATCTTCAGAATCGCTTCAAACTTGCCTGAGCAGTGTTTCCAAATCATCTGGTGTGTTACTGCATTCTGCATTCCTCCTGGAACATGAACTATACCCACAGGGCAAGTCACACCTGTGCAGCGAGATATTGCAAGATCATTGTGGCTTAAAGGCTCCCCTAGGGGCTCATTTCCACCTACAAGCATAAAAATCATTCCAAATACCTGTCATCTGATCTAGCGCCTCAGATAATGAGGAACCAGTGGAAATAGTAGGATTTGAAGCTGTTTTAGGCTGATATTGTTCTAGCAGAGCCTGGCCCCCTGCTGTGCAGTTTTACAAATTTACTTTCATGTATTTGAAAACAAGTTTTCAAATTTATTTATGCTCCCACTTTGGAAAGTGTGATTTGGAGATGTGCTCAGTCAAATATGGAGGGAGCAGTGGAAGTGACAGAAACACCCTACAGCTATTTGCAAGCAGTGGCGCTGATGCTGCCAGACCCACCTGGGCATTTTGGCATTGGTGCTTAGGAGGGGCTGCGTGTGTGTTTGTGAGCAGTACTGAGGAGCACAAACCCGGGGAGATAAGTGTGTTGTGTTCTGGGAGATGTCTGTGAATAACCTTCTTCAGCTACAGGTAGCTGTGAAGTGGAAGAAGTGATGTACTGGAAATGTCTCCCATGCATATGGTTATTTCTGTGTAGGAGATGAGCTCTCAGAGTATTTCATCTGCCCACTTCATTTCTCTGAGAAAATTTTTTAACGCTACGTTTTCCATTCCACTGATATGCAATGCACTGTGTAAAATGCCAAGTAAATATGGTTGCATGTGCTAGGCTAATTTGAATTGAATTAAGACTTTAGAGAACTGAGGAGGTTGGTCTTAAAACTCTGTTTACTAAAATTATCTTTACACACTTGAACATGATTGTACTTAGACCAAAGAAATATGTAGAAAAACATGAAAATGGTTTTATGATAGAACTGTTCTTTCCAAGTTTATGATTTTTTTTTCAAATATCGCTTAATTTTGTTATTTATATATTTTAGTTAGGAAATAAATATTGCATGCACACAATGAAAATAATATATAGTGTATCTATATGTATGAAATATATTATTACCACAGAATCACAGAGTAAGGTCAGTTGGGACACACAAGGGTTATTGAGTCCAGTTCATGGCCCTGCACAGGACATCCCCAAGAGTCACGTCATGTGCCTGAGTGTGTTGTCCAAACACTTCTTGAACTCTGCCAGGCTTGGTGCTGGGGCTATTTCCCTGGGCAGCCAATTCCAGTGCCCAAACACTCTCTGGTTTAAGAATCTTTTTGTTATCCAACCTAAACCTCCCCTGACACAATTTCAGGCCATTCCCTTGGGTCCTGTCCCTGTCACCACAGAAGAGATCAGTGCCTGTCCCTCCTCTTTCCCTCACAAGGAAGTTGCAACTGCAGTGAGGTCTCCCCTCAGTCTTCTCTTCATGTAACATTTGCATATTTTAGATATGCTGGTGCATGCCATAAATATGATCTTTTTCTGAAGGTAGTCGTCCTAATGCTGAATAAATTTCACTGCACTTTTTATCTAAATGCTCATTTCACAATTTTTCCTGCATATATAAAAGATTATTTAATGGAAGTTATGTAACAATAATGATATATCCTTAGTTAAAGAAAACTTTATCTTACATGATTTTAAACCATAGATTATTTCTATTTAGAGATAGAGCACAGAAAGAAGGAAAATACCTATACTTTAAGCATCCATTTAGTCATACCTCTGTACTTTTACTGATAAGGTTTTCATTTCACTCCAGTGCTTTATCTACTCTGTATGGTTAAATTGAGCAGTGTCAGAAGAGTCAGCAGAGTTTAGAAAAAATCTAGTATTCAAGGAGTGTTTCTGTGGAAGTGTGTTGCTGCAGACATGAGTTAACGCATTACAAAATCCCCTTTGGGCGTATCCTTGTTTGTACTGTAAAACAAAGTCCTCAAAACTAAAAGTTTAAAGCACATTTGGGACTTATTTGGATTTTTCTACTGCTGTGGGCACTGCCTTTCCTCTGGTATAATGATGAATTTGTTATAAGCACAGACACAACAGACTTCCATATTATCTCACACTAATAAGAATACAAATTCTGCAGCAAAAACATACTAGAGGCCTAAATAAAAACTAAAGACATTTAAGTGAAGCAAAATCTGTATACTGTGGTTATAAAAATATAATTAACCACCTAAGCATGGGAAAAGTATAGTAAGACAACACACTAATTTAATTTTTATTTATTTTTTTAAAATTAGAGACTGAGGCATAATAATAATGTCACAAATTAATAGGAAATCGCTTTGATGATGGTTAAAATGTCCTCTCTGACTTTCTGGAATATAGAAGCCAATTTTTAGTACACCTTATGAATATAGCAAGCTATAAAAGCATAAAACCAGTCAGTGTTAAGTGCATTCTAAAGCCAGATTTTCTTAAACCAAGAGTAGAGATGGAGTGGTGGTCCTTGGCTCTACATTGTTTTGTTGGTTCCAATGTTTCAATTAGAAAATGAAGACACTAAACTTGATAGAATTATCACACTGATTTTTTTTTTCCACAGATTAAGATGCTTGGTAAAGCAGCTGGAGAAAGGTGACATTAATGTGGTGGACTTAAAAAAGAATATTGAATATGCAGCATCTGTGCTGGAGGCAGTTTATATTGATGAAACCAGGTAAGTCTGAGGGAAAAACGAAATGAAAGAATGTTGCAAATTGTATTTTAGAAATTTGGTCTTTGCATGCAATTGTCACTGACATGAGCTGAAGGTCTGTGCACATCAGAAGAAGCTTGTGGAGCTCTTGGGTCTTTTATGACAAAGTTAAAGCAAGTAAGTTTCCAAAGGTCAGATGTAACTGTTGTCTGGAAAGAAATGCTCACAGAAATGAGTCAGAATAGCTGGTCAGTAAATACACAAATAAATGAAAAGCTGTGATTTATTTTATAGCATTTGATGCTTAGTTTCTGTTTGTTGTTAACAGTATTACTGGCAATTATGTGGGTTAATTCCAAGTAAAATAGAAGTTCTAAGAATTTGGTTTCTTGAAAGAGTTTTAAGATATGGACTGTACTAGAAATTAGCTGGATAACTTACTGGTTTTCTTTCTGCATGTTGGCCTTTCTAATTTTTTTCTAAGCAGAATGGTCTTGCAAGGATGTCTGCCCAAACTTCCTTGGTATCACTGGAGCGTGCAGTGTATGCCTCTGTGCGACATTTGAGAATTATTTCATGGACCTAACACCCTCTCTGTGCGTGTGTCCTCCCCTTGCAAATCTGCATAGCTGACCACTGGTTATTACAGAGATAAACCCCTGGTTATTCCTCCATACACCTCCCAAACACTGGGATTAAATGGGTGTAGTATTCATAGCTCCGTCTGAGCAGTAGTGCCAGTGCCAGGGAAAATAAATTGAGATTTACTTAGTTTCCAAACTGAGGCAGCTTCTGTGGAAATGAATCGTAGTGTCACAATGAGGAATCCAATCTTTCTGGCTCTGTGAGGGAATATCAAGACAAATAGCAGGCATTTCATGCTCAGAGAAAAGAGCTAACACTGACAATACATAGGCTCTGGCAGCAACAGGTGCATTGCTTCTGCTGTAAGCAAATCTTGAAATTAGCTAATTGCCCTCACAGAATTTGACAGCAAGATTATTAAACTCCCCAAAGAAAAACATATGTAATTTTATAGTGATTTGCAAGATTTTTACAGTCCTCTGTTTATTTTCTTAATCCTAGGACCACTATGTCCTCCTAATGGTGACTATTTTCAAAAATTCTACTTCAGTGTATCAATAAAGTTTTTCTTTTCTGGAGCTCAGTGCACAATGATATTAATTTATTGCATCCAGTATTTTACAGAATATTCTGACTTTTCACTGTACAACGTCAGGATATACTTGAGTCTATACTCAGACTTTGAGACTTGTTTTGCTCTTATTTATTGAATACTTGTGTTCACCAAAGAAACTTGAGAGTTTATGGACCTACCAAATTTTATTAGCATTCCTTATATAGATTTGCATTAAGCATACATTTTATGTATGTCTTTCTGTACATACATATGTATTTATGAAGTATAAATCAAATTCTGCTATAAATAGTAGTTAAAAGTGAGACTATAATGAAACCTACTTTTCTACTTTTATTCTTTTAATTTTAGTGGTTTGTGGTTCTCTATTGTACCTCTATATTGTTCCTTTTGTTTTACAGTATTGGATTTTGGTTTTAGTTTATCTTCCTTGGACTAATGTAGTCATGATGAAATTCAGAATCAATATGATGAGTTTTTTTAATCTGATGGTCTTTTTGTTAATTTTATCCTAGAAATGTAGACTGACTCTCCACATCTTAGTTGGACAATGTTATGTATGGACCCATTTTAAATTTTGACACTTCCCCATTAAAAACAATTGTAAATGCTAATCTGTAAAATTTGCAATTTACTAACAACTGTAAATTTATTGCAAGGCTGGGAAACACCGTAGTTGCCACTGGTACTTTCATAATACACTCTTTTCCATGGCAAGCTGCAAAGATAATTGTTTTAAATAACATGGCCATTATTCCGTAATCTAAGTCACTCAAAAATGTAAGCACACAAAGAAGGTCTCGAGTTCCTGGGAAGCCAATCCTTAAGGAACAAAGCAGTGTATCACTGAGTCAAATGGAGTTAGCTGAGTTAGCTTGTGTGGTTGCATTTGTCCTTGTTCCCACCAAAGAATACAGGTTCTTTGTCTTGCAAAGAGCTACTTCTATGGGAGTCGGGAGTTAATTGCACTCATTAGTAGATTAGAAAAAATAGTTTAGATCATAAGCAAAAGGGCCTGTTCCTGCTGAGCCTGAACATGCAATTTTATACATCTCAAAGTTCAAATAACTTTAGTAAGTTTCTTTACGTATGAGTTGCTGTTCAGTGTATGCAACTCTTGTGAAAATACCCATGCTTTCTGTTTTAAGTCCAGTATTGATCCCTGGATTTTGTCCTGATGAATTTATTGACCGATTGCTAAAGTATCCAAGCAGAGGAAGACCTCAGCTTCAATCATCAATCTAAAATTGTCCTGCTTGTGGTGTTCTCTTCTTCCCCACTTTTCTGGGCAACAGACCTCAATATAAGCTGAGGGAAAAGTCATTTAAATATCTCTATAGACAGGAATAACAACCTCTACAGATTAGGAATAGCAATAAACAGAGAGTTTGTTACTTGAGTCCTCTTAACACATCTTTCTGTTCTGGTAGATATTCTATGAAACAGGATAATAAAATGCTCCTGATAGTGGTCCCTCATCTACTGCTGAAGGACTTTCTGCAATTCTTCACAGGCACTGAGAAGAAAAAAACCAAAAAGAACAGTCAAAACTAAGGTCAATAAAGAGGTCCAAGTATGACATATCTCACAGCACTTGGTCAGTAATGTGGCCAAGGATCAAGGAAGAGCCTTGTCTGTTCCACAGCTCCAGCAAACCACCACTACTTAAAAAATAAATCTCTGGCATTGTTCTGGCAAAACCACTTTTCTCTTTATAAGCCTGAGGGTTTTTTCAGTGAGCAGTTCCAATTTCTTCCAGTAGAAGATGCCCATTTTTCCCCCCATATGCCATTACTTCACTTGAATTTCTTGAAAAGCCTGTATCATATTATAAAGTTGTGTGTGAACATGGAAGAACATTCAAACACGTATGTTGATGGCATATTGAATCTTTCTTTAAAGTGCAACAATCAGGTTCAAATAGCTGGAGAATTCACACAATTTAACAGAGGATGAAACCTTTTTTCAGGTCCCCTGACGTTCCCTTTGTCTGCTCCTGTGTTTCACTATAGCCATTTATCTGAGCATTTTTTGTAATTATTTGCCAATACTCATTTCCATTCTTGAGCTTTCTAAAACTCTGTGGATTGGGTTAGGGCAAAAGCAAGGAAACAAAACAACAGATTTTATTTATGAAGTTCTGAGAGTAGTCTTCTTAGAAACAGGGATAGACACTAGGGATAACCTTCCAAAATGAGGAAAAATTGGTTTGGAGCAGTGACTGTCAATATCTCTAGAAAAGGTTCTGAGCTGGTGGAAAGTTGGAAAGCCCAGACATCAGTATCAAGTAAGTGCTGCTTTTCTATGAGCTCCATTATCTGTGGCCCTAAGTCACTCAATTAGTTTGTTTAACAAGCTCCTTTTTGACTGCTGCACCTTTCAGTGCGGCACCAAATTCTTCCTTGAAAGAGATCAAACACTCTGGTAGCTGAAGCTGAGGTTCATCATCAGCTGAAAATAACCAGGAGACTCTCACAGTTCCAGCCCCTCAGCAGATTTGCTCTGTGGAAGAAGTTCAAACTTAATGGGTATTATAAATAATTCTGACGAATCTTGCAGAATTTTCTCCATTAGTACCTGCCACTTGGCTCAAGGCAATGGAAGAAGGATATTTAGAGTCAAACAGGAAGTAAATAAAGCCTGATCATTCAGTCACGACAGCTGTTCCGTTCCTTGTAAATGCAGCTCTTCATTCATGCTAACTGAAAAGAAAATAAGTAAAATAAAATCTAGATAAGAATTACAATATGAAAGGGAAAAAATGTATTCCAAATCTAAATAGTAGTAATATTAATAGTAATAATAATAAATCCTTATTGTGGAGACTACTTTTATGCTGTTCTGCATAAAATCAGAATAGTTTATTCAAATTATGTTTTATTTTTATATGCCTTAGTGTGTTAGAAAATATACTTGATTTCAGGAGGATATTTATCTGTGCAGTTGCAGTTCCATACAGGGTTTTTATTTATTTCAGATTATATAGTGCCCTTTTAATAAGGCTTTACCTACTTGAGAACTTTTGACTTAGAAGAGACTGCATGTCTGTAATGCATGAAGCAGCTCTGTATTATATAGCTGACAGGTTTTTTTAGCATCTTTGATTCAACAAGGCATAATAACAAATACAGGTTCATGAAGAAAAAGGTAATGTCATTAAGGGTGGCACTGTAGCAATATATATTTGCCTGAGAGCTCTGGAAATAATATTTCAATGACACTACAATGGCAGACACAGTTCTCTATAAAAAGCTCTTATTTAGGAAAAAAAAAAAAAGTACACGTTGTGATATGTTTAAACCTGGACTTTGTGACCGCTGTTGTAATAAACAGCTTGGACCAAACTGAATTTCCAGTGTACTATTCCAGCAATGCTCCAAATACTTCTGTGGTTTTGGGACTTAAACAGGGACAAATGCATCCTCAGATTCTGGGCAAAAAGGAAATAGTTCAAATTGCAAGATAAGGAGCTTTGTTATTTTGTCTCACCAAAAGTCTGTGGCACCCTTCAAGCACACCACAGAAATATCTGTGACAGGAATATGCACGTGTGTGCCTTTGCCATGTGAGGTCCAAGGAAGCAGGAAGGAACAAATGCTCAGCTGGATCCTGGTGCTCCCAGAGCTGTGTGTTGTGGAAGTGGGAATGGAGCTTAGCAACAGCCCAAGAAGTAAATGAAATGGTCCTGTTTCCTGGAGATTCTGAGGTGAAGGATGGTCAGTATAGCCTGTTCTTGGGCAGCTTTCAGTATGCATGTTACAAGCTGGAGAAGGCTGTTCCTGGTATTTTCAAGTTTTTCAGTACTGCAGCAGAACCCAGGTGCATGGCAGCTGCTCTGTCATAGGCTAGGAATTAATAGCTA